GTTGAGCCGGACAAATGTCTTAACGATTTTCCAGAGGTGTTCACTGCTTGCGCGGTGACGCGAGCAATGGCTCGTGCTCAGACAGTAAAACCATCTGATGTATCTAAGGCTAGTGCAGGTAAAATGTTTGTACCAGATTTACCAGCACCGTTATCTCCTAGTGAGGTAATTGAGGCGCAAAAGAATGATCGTAATCTCGAGAAGTATTTTGCTTTGGCCTCGGGTGATGATAATGTTGATCATGGTTATCTGATCCAAAATGGTTTGTTGCTGCGCAGGTGGTCACCTCGGGCGGACAATGATGTGGCAGATCAGGTGTTGCAAGTGGTGGTGGCTGTGGAATACCGGGAGTTGGTGTTAAAAGCAGTGCACGGAGAAGCGTCTGGGCATTTTGGGGTAAGGAAAACCTACAATCATGTATTGCAACATTTCTATTGCCCACGGATAAAAAGGGACATAGCGAGTTTCGTAAAAGGTTGCCATGCGTGTCAAATGGCAGGTAAACCAAATGTTTCGATTAAACCTGCGCCGCTACAACCCATTCGGTCCGTGGCCATTCCATTTGAACATCTGGTTATTGATTGTGTGGGTCCTTTGCCACAGTCAAAGTCTGGCAGTGTTTATCTTTTCACTGTGATGTGCCAAGCGACACGTTATCCTGCGGCGTATGCTTTAAGGACTATAACCACGAGGTCAATTGTGAAGGCTTTGTCTCAATTTATATCTATTTTTGGTTTACCAAAAGTAATACAGAGCGATCATGGGTCAAATTTTACGTCCAAGACATTTGCGGCGGCGTTAAAAGAACTGCGAGTAAAACATAATTTAAGTAGTGCATATCATGCCCAGAGCCAGGGGGTTCTGGAACGTTTTCATGCCACATTGAAATCGTTGTTACGTGCTTATTGTGTAGAACTTCAGAGAGATTGGGAAGAGGGCTTACCGTGGCTACTGTTGGCGGCCCGTGCGGTGGTACAGGAGAGCACGGGGTTTAGCACTAATGATTTAGTTTTTGGGCACAAAGTCCGCACCGTTTTATCGGTGTTGAGTGGGGATTTAGATGGTGGTGTGGAGATACCTGGGAATTTGGCCGATTATGTGCATGGCTTTCGCCGAAGGTTGTTCTTGGCTGGGAAGTTGGCTAATGAAAGTCTATGTGAAGCGCAAACTAAAATGAAGCGATGGTACGATCTTAAAGCAGAGGTAAGAGTATTTAGTCCTGGTGATCAAGTGGTTGCGTTGTTGCCAATTCTGGGTTCGGCATTAGAGGCTAAATATACTGATCCACATACTGTTGTGCGGAAAATATCGGAGAACAACTATGTGGTGTCCACCCCTGAGCGGAGGAGGAAAACACAACGGGTTCATGTTAATTTACTTAAACCATATTATTCCTCACCATTGCAGGTGGTGGGTGATGACAAGACTACTTATAGACCTGTTGGACTGGCTATTGGGGAGGGCGCATCCGACGCTTCTGAAGTGGCAGTTGGGGATGGGGTGCGGGATCCGGATGATGCGGTCCTGCAGGCTAGGCTAAATAATTCAGACACGTTGGTTAGCTTGGACAGCCTCTTGGGGCATTTGGATGGGGAACAACGTGATCAGTTAAAATCTTTACTTTTTGAGTTTTTGTCTTTGTTTTCCAACACACCTAGCTGCACCAGTCTTATTGAACATGACATTGATGTAGGGGATGCAAAACCCATTCGACAGAGATTTTACCGTGTTGCTCAGGACAAACGAAAAAGCTTGGATGCCAGTGTGAAATATCTGCTTGATAATGGCCTACCAAAACCATCATATTCGAGTTGGGCATCACCATGCTTACTTGTTAAAAAGTCGGATAGCACATTTAGGTTTTGTACAGACTATAGAAAGGTGAATGCGGTGACAAAGGCTGACTCCTTTCCTTTGCCACGTATCGAGGATTGTGTGGATCAGGTTGGTAGTGCTCGATATGTAAGTAAATTTGATTTATTAAAGGGGTATCATCAGGTACCGCTTACGCCTAGGGCGCAGGAAATTGCTACATTTATTACACCCAAGGGCGTAGGTTTAGGGGGGGACGCTAGGTACTAGTCCCAATCAATATTTTGAGATGACAAATTTGTCCCCACCAATATTTAGCAAGCTCATTTGAACTGCTATTTTGATATTTGCGCTGCAATTGGATCTTTGCCCATTTGGATCGATTCCAACGGCCAGGACGACGACAGTACAAGATACGCCGTAATTTGATTGGCGGCGGGGTATCTGACAGGCAGGCTACACGCGCGGGCCGGGACTACTTTTTGTGCTTGCACTCACTGGCAGCGAGCGAGCGGGTGGTGTGTGTGTGTGCGCGCGTGACGACGCCGACGGTAAGTTACCAGGGCTGTCTCTGCGTGCCATATACAAAGGCCAGAGTAAAACATTTTAATATTCCGGTTTTTTGCCCCTTTTTGTACTTTGTAGATCAGCTATGTCACCCAAGAAGAAGAAAGGGGACATACGAAGCTTTTTCATAAAGCAGAGTGTAAGTAGGCAAAAATAACTAGCAGTAGTAGTGACTGACCAGGCTTTCAAATGCAGATTAGTGGAAAATAGTATTAACTGGTGATCCTGGTTACCCAGGATATTGTTACAGTTAAACCTAGCTTGAAGCTTCTGCAATCTTTCAAGGTTATAGGAGCATTAATTAGGGGTGTGCAGCACAGAAAGACTCATGGGGGCGGGGGATGTCCCCACCAAAGCTGAGACCAAACCTACGCCCATGATTACACCTTCGGGGTTGTATTCTTACACCCGTATGAGTTTTGGACTGCGGAACGCCCCCTGCACCTTCCAACGTCTTATGAATCGTGTCATTGCGGGGTTGGAGGGGTGTGCAGTTTACATAGACAATGTGGTGTGTTACGCAGATACCTGGGAAATACACCTGGCGCGTATACGTTCCCTGTTTGAGAGGTTGGTGGCAGCAACGCTCACAGTGAATCTTGCAAAATGCGAGTTTGCCCAGGCCACCGTGGTTTTTTTGGGTAAGGTGGTGGGGCAGGGGCAAGTGCGGCCAATTAGGGCTAAAGTTTTGGCCATTGACCGGTTTCCTTCGCCGACTACCAAAAAAGAAGTAATGCGTTTTCTAGGAATGATTGGGTTTTATTGAAATTTTTGTTGTAATTTTTCAACCGTTGTGGCCCCACTTACCGATTTGTTAAAACAATCAGTCAGGTTTGTGTGGTCTGAGGATTGTAGGCGTGCATTTGAGAATGCAAAGCTTTTGTTGAGTTCTGCGCCTGTCCTGGCTGCACCAAAGTTGGATGACCCTTTCCAACTTCAAGTGGATGCAAGTCAGGTGGGGGCTGGCGCAGTGCTCATACAAAAGGATGAGCGAGATATTGAGCGACCAGTAGGTTATTTTTCACGCAAATTTAATCGCCACCAGCTTAATTATTCGACGATCGAAAAGGAGGCTCTAGCGTTGATCTGGGCGCTCCATCATTTCGAGGTATATGTGGGGGGTGGTTTACATCCCGTTGTGGTTTATTCAGACCACAATCCGCTCACATTCCTACAGTCTTTACAAAATGCTAATCAGCGTCTCATGCGGTGGGCGCTGTTTTTGCAGCCCTACATTCGTGGCGCTGACAATGTGTTAGCAGATGCGCTTTCTCGGGGCCCGGATGAGTCGATGTGATGTTTTTTTTTTTTTTTTTTGCCCTGTCCTTTTCTCATCTCTGTCCTCCCTTAATTAGTTATCCAAGGTGCCAGGATCTTGCTGGGTGGTAAGATACAGTGGAGATTTGGGGTGAGAGTGGTCAGTGTTGGTTATGGGCTGTAACAGTTGTGTTTACATGCATAAATGAGTGAATGTGCACGATTGAATGTGGGTATGGGATTTCAGTGTGATTGAGTTTAGGTTAATATTTACTTGGTATTTATTTGTTACTTTGGAGATTGGGAGTGTGTATCCGGAGTCCCTTTAATTTGGGCCTCTTTTTTTTCGGGGGGAGTGATGTCACGCCCGGCTTGGCCAGGTGTGGGCAATTAAGCCTGTATTGCCTACTGTTGATGTTCTGTGTCACTTTTAGGTGGAGCTGTTCCGGTGGGTCATGCCATGCTAATTGGTGGACTGATGAGGGAGTTGATAAAATCATTGCCTTCCTGCTGGCTTGGTCTCTTCCTGCTATTTCGGCCTGACAATGAGAGGCTGGCGTCGGTCGGCACTCCTGGCCAGTTCTCTTTTTGTTATGCTTCCCATTTACTGTTCTTTGTAAATCATGTATTAATAAACTAGCATTTTAATTAAATATTAAGTTCAGTGTGGTCTCCCCTATGTCAACTCTACCTTGAGCCAAGTGGGCTTGACAGTTGTCCTCTTTCATAGACAGCTATTTTCTTCTTGCTGTGTAAATTTAACAGTAGGCCTAAGGCTAACATATTCATACTAAAAGCCAAAAAAACTTCTATTTTGATTTCATGGGGATTTGAAAAAGAACGAAAGCGATTATTATTTTAATCAGCAAGGGTGCATTATATTGATCAAAAGTGACAGTAAATACAGTAATGTTACAAAAGATTTTTATTTCAAATGAATGCTGGTTTTCACCAAAAAATTAGGAACGCAAAAACGATTTTCAACATTGATAATAATCATGAATAAGGATCATTCTGGTTTTATTTAAAATTATAATAATACATCACAATATTACTGTTTAATTATATATTTTTGATCAAATAAATTCATCCTTGGTGAACATAAGAGACTTCTTTCCAACAAACAAACAAAAAAATCTTTGATTATTCCAAACGTTTGACCGGTAGACCCATGTCTGACTCTCCTCATGCTGCACACAATTAAGACAAAAGCAGTTGAGCCGGAGGTCGGACGCTACAGCTAATATGAGCCCCATATAATAGGGTTAATTGTGTTTATAAAACGGTTTGGCAATAATAAAATTAGAGCTCTCCTCCTAAAGGCCAGACTCCAGTCGGGAATGAACAAACGCGTTTCGGTCTTTCACATCATTTGTCCTATCAGCCTATCCGTAGTGACGTTTATTGTGAGCGTCAAACGGTGGTGAAAATGGTGAGTGAGCCAGCAGTTTATTTAGCGAATCATTGTTAAAATCGTTTCCTTCCCCCCACAATAATTCTGTTATGTGCAAATATAGTGTGTGAAAGCTGTGTATACGGGCGCGTGAATGGTAACGTTATCTCGTCGTAACTCTCTGCTAAATACCTCTTTATACATCGATGGATTAACACAACAATCATCCTCTGAAGAAACATTAATTGCTATTAAAAGCGTTACAGCCACTCTACTTACCCGCATACAACCTAAAACCTGTCAAAACGTAAATGCAATTTAAAGTTTCTCGATATTCCAAATATTTATTGTGTATTTTTGCGTATTTATTCCTGCAATCGGGTCGAAAACAACCAGTTCACCATTACAGATGTAACGTTAACGTTATATATTAAACACACGAATTAAAATCAGAGTAGGGTAATCAACTAATATTTTTTATTCTTCCATTACATGTAAAGTGCTCAGTGAAAGAGTCATTTTGGACATTATTTGTTTTTCATAATATAGGGCATCTAATTTACATAGAATTATATTTAGTCCTACTCCTTTTAAAATACAGGTACAGTACAGTAGCCATAATTCACACTTAAACATACGAATGTCACTGCATTAAATACAAAATAGCAAAAATAACTGATGATTCTAGAATTAATGCTGGTCTCAAATCAATTTTATTGGACGTATAGTCAGATCCTCTCAAGTTTACACATTATTATTATTAATATTTGTTATTAATATTATTATTATTAATAATAATACAATAAATCAATCTAACTTAAGCAAAATGCTCCAAAAAAAACACCATACAATCAAAATGTAACTGAAATCATATTATATTTCATTATATATAAACATACAGTTCTTGATATTTCTCGAATCTAAGTTTATTTTAATAATTTACTTATATTGACTGCGACATTCCCAGTTTCTGTGTTAATAATGTATTTATAATATATTTATTTGTAAGTGTATAGCCAAGAATCTTTATACGATGATTACGATTTCTACAAATATTTTGAAAAGATGTCTCTTATGCACACCACAGGCTGCATTAATTTGATATCTAAAGCAAGGATCATGTGACACTGAAGACTGAAGCAATGATGCTGAAAATGAAGCTTTGATCACAGGAATAAATCACACTCTATAATATATTCAAATAAAAAAGCAGTTATTTTAAATTGTAATAATATTTCACAACATCACTGATTTTTGATCACATACATTCAGTCTTCTTTCAAAAACATTAATAAATGTTCCTGATTGGTAGTGTACTATATGAACATTAGACATGAATCTTTCTCAACACAGGGCCAGAGTCAGAGCGGAGGACACGGACCAGGAGGTGGAAAGAAAGATGATAAGGTGACAAGAATAACATTAATATTTTAAAACGGCATCATCCAAGTGTCTATCCTTAGTAAATGACTTTATCTATCATCATTACAGGACAAGAAGAAGAAATATGAGCCGCCCATTCCATCTAGAGTGGGCAAGAGGAAGAGGAAGTCCAAGGGCCCTGATGCTGCCAGCAAACTGCCTCTAGGTACAGGCGTGACCTTTGCTGTTGAACTCAGGACTATCCTGTGGTTGGTTTTCGGCTAATGTCCGGTTGTCTCTCCGTATAGTCACCCCACACACACAGTGCAGACTGAAGCTCCTGAAGCAGGAGAGAATTAAAGATTACCTGCTGATGGAAGAGGAGTTCATCCGAAACCAGGAGCAGATGAAACCTCTAGAGGAGAAACAGGAGGTGCAGCATCCATCCTTTTCCTCTTTCTCTCTCTCGCTCTCTCTCTTTTGTTGGTCTGTACTGATGATGTTTCCGTTTGCGCTCTTCTTAGGAGGAGAGGTCAAAGGTCGATGACCTCAGGGGGACCCCTATGTCTGTGGGGACCCTGGAGGAGATCATCGATGACAATCATGCCATTGTCTCCACGTCTGTGGGCTCGGAGCATTATGTCAGCATCCTCTCGTTTGTTGACAAAGATCTGCTGGAGCCCGGCTGTTCCGTCTTACTCAATCACAAGGTCAGGATTGAATAGAATTAAATAGGATGAATCCTTCAAACTTTATTATTGACAATTATAATAATCAACTATTCCGAAGTAGTGTAGTTTAAACTGGAAAACAAGTTCCTTTAAAAATCGATTGAGACCTGAAACTAGATACATTTACTTGAGAAGCAACACTTCTTATGATATTAAGACTTGTTTTTAGAGAATGTGTCTTTAATAAGAGTTAATTTTGTCCTCCTCCTTTTCCATTTTACAAACAAGTTTAAAAACATGAAAAAATCTTCCAGTGCAGTAAGACAAAATATATTTATATTCAAGCTACGATCTATGAAAACAATTCATATATTATTCAGTGTGGCTTCATGTAAATGTATTTTGTTTTATGGATTTTTGGAAAACAAATAAAAATCTAATACTTTTTTTGTAGTTACAAGTGTTTGTGAGCCATTCCACCGAATGGGTGACATTTGCTTGTTGTAACTCTCCAAATTAAACTTGATTTTTTATCTTTTTTCAACACTGAATCTAATACTACACATATTTAACTATTCAAAATGTGTATTGGTCAATCTCAGCCAACTTTTTTTTTTTTTTTTTACAAGGTTTAAGCAGAAGATGGACACATATTTTCTCAGTCCTGTTACCGAAACTCATGTGCCATTTAAAAAGCATGTTTAAAAGCATGTCAATTAATTCCTTTGTTTTCCCCACAAGAAAGTGTTTATTTTAAAGAAATTGTTGGTTATATGTTTAAGTAATTGATATTTGTGGAAAAAAAATCACTATTTATTAAGGCAAGGTGTATTTTAATAAAAAACACAAAGCCATTTTTTTCATTTTAAAGAAGACCGAACCCTCAAGTTTACAATTGTTTTAATAATTTAATTTATTAAACTATTGTATAAATGATGGACCAAACAAAACTGATAAAAACACTGGTTTAACTTTATTTTTTTAGAAAAAAGAAAAAAAATAGTAACAGGAATGAACACATTGTAACAGGAATGAACACTTGGTAACAGGAATGAGCGTCCATATGTGTGTGTATTGGAGAGAGTCTACATGACTGTGTGTGCATAAGATTTCTGTGTTGAAGTGATGTACTATGTGCTAGAAGTACTTCACAGAGAAGGAGGTGGAAAGAGAAAGAAGGAGAGAGAGAAGAAGAGAGATGGAGGGAGAAAGAGGGAAGTTAAGACAAAAAAGGGGGAAAAGAGAGGGTTGCGGTTTCGCTCCTTCCATTGCAATATGCCATAGGTGTGTGTTTCTGGCACCTGCATAGTATGGGTTTTCTCCATTTTCTACAAAATATAAGAAAGACAAAGACACAACGTTTAAGTTACCTCGTGGTGGACTGGCTTCCTGGAAGTATGGTGTTCACATTATAAAACTAATGCTAATGTCTACAATATAAGTAATTGCAACCTTAAAACTCATAATTCAGGTGAATAGTATTATATAAACTAATATTTACAGTATTAAATCAACAAAACAGAGGACTCTACTCACTCCTGTTACTTTAACTCACTCCTGTTATTTATTCATATAAGCAACAGGACTGAAAGTAACAGGATTGAGTTTTTAAGCAAAAAGTTATCAAATACATGCCATATGGTCACATAGCATACATGCTAACAGCATGAGGACACTGAGCAATTTCTAGTGACTTACCAAAAGTTCATATTTTTAAAATAAACAAATAAAATCTAAGAAATAATTTAGGTAACAGGACAGTATGTTGAGATTTACCTTCTCAGTCATAGTTACAATTTCATCAAATATACAGAAATTAAAATGAGAGGACTTACTTATGGTCTTCCCATTGCCTTCAGAAGATCCAGATGATCCAACTTCCTGTTGAAAATGTGTCTTGTGGAATATTCCAAATTTTTCAGAGGGGGGGGATGTGTTAGGATAACAGGACTGAGTGAAAACCCGGGGACAGGACTAAAAATTGTATTTTATCTAAAATATTAGATAAAATATTTTTTTCTCATGAAAAAAAAACATTTTAAAGCATAGATTGGATATAAAGTCACACAACAATGCAAACAAATTAAGATTTCTGAAGGATTTTAATCATCATATTTCATGGTAAATTTTAGAGATAAAGAGTGGGGACATGCAGAAAATGCTATTTTTTAGTGTTCCATGTAGTTTTTATTAATGTTTTTAATTATACATTTTAAATTTGTAGTTAGCTTAATGTGCAGGACATTTTGCTTAATAATAAAATGTCTTTTAGAGTTAAATTTCATGCAATTTTAAACATTTAATGTCCTGAGGACAGAAATGTCACCCTTTCGGTAGAATGGCTCTTGTATGCTTTCCTGTATATTCTGGGTGCCGAAGATTGGTAGATTGACCTATTAAATGTGATGATGTTGTTTATAGGTCCATGCTGTCATCGGGGTGCTGATGGACGACACTGACCCTCTTGTGACAGTCATGAAGGTGGAGAAGGCTCCGCAAGAGACATACGCAGACATCGGTGGACTGGACGCCCAGATACAAGAAATTAAGGCAAGATAAAGACATCTGTATTGGATTGAAAGACCAGATGTGTTTACTAGTGGGAAATCACCATACAAAATTGTATTAAAGGGACACTATGTAACTTTTGGCCCTCTAGTGGTTAAAAACCAAAACCGCATGCATTTTGCAGAAGAACATTGTTTTGTTTGTCCATCGGTTCTGCGTGACTTCTGATGAATATGACCCTTCACAATACATATTGCTTTACAATGAATTCTGTTAGAGCTACATAAGGCAATTTATCTGTTCAATAAAATACCTTTCTCACCGGTTGAGTAATAAAAACGCAATTTCTGCATCGGTTTTACAACATTTCAAATCCCTCAGCTCTCGGTAAGCATGTGACGGTATCGAATTGCAATAATTGCTGAAGCTTTTATCATAGCTGGGTGACAGTGGCAAGGAAAAACTAAAAAAAATTCTTAAAACAAAATAAACTATATTTAGTGCTATTAAAATACATTTGAATCGTGTTGAAAATGCTGTCTCAGGGTTTATACACTACAGTTAAAAAGTTTTTTTCAAAGTAAGAAATTACTATTATTTAGCAAGAGCACGTTAAATTGATCAAAAGTTACAGTAAAGACATTTATAATGTTATAAAACATTTCTATTTCAAATAAATGTTTTTTATCACTAAAGAATCATTAAACTTTTTGAACAATAGTATGACATTATATAACATTTTTATTAATGCTCAAACAAGTATTTTATAAATATTTTCTAAGTAAATATTGCTTAAGGCATTTTTTCATTTCTTTTGGTTTTAGTACAATGATAATATAGAAGCTGATTATTCGATTTTATCATTTTGAAAACAACTAGTTTTTTAAATCTAGTCTTTATAGATGGAAATATAGAATAGTTCAAAAAGAAACTGCAGGTATTTGGTGATGTTTAATCAGATAAAGATGATTCTATGCTGCTTAACATATGTTTTGTCCTGCAGGAGTCTGTGGAGCTGCCGCTGACCCATCCAGAGTATTATGAGGAAATGGGGATAAAGCCTCCCAAAGGGGTCATTCTCTACGGCGCCCCTGGAACAGGTGAGTCCAACACCACTGTTTGTTTACAGAATTCACAGAAAGAAATACATTATCATGGGCATGTGGTGACGTCACAAATCTTGATCTGTCATATAATCAGGTAAAACCCTCCTTGCCAAAGCGGTGGCCAATCAGACGTCTGCAACGTTTTTGCGCGTTGTTGGTTCAGAGCTGATTCAGAAGTATCTCGGCGACGGCCCTAAATTAGTGCGCGAGCTCTTCAGGGTGGCCGAGGAACACGCACCCTCCATCGTCTTCATCGATGAGATTGACGCCATTGGAACTAAGAGGTAGAGCAATATTATGAAATAATCCAAATATGCTCATATCCATTGCAATGCATACACATTTTTGGTCTTTATTAAAGTGCCCCTATAATGCTATTTTAAAGGTTTCTAATGTTGTTTTGGAGGTCTCTTACAAAAGGTTTATATGCATCCAAGGACAAAACACACTTTCATTTTCTTACAATATATTTGCAACATCAAATCTTTTCTCACAGTGTCTGAAATGGTTCAATAAAGAATTCAGTCTCTCTAAACCCCTTGTTTCTGAGAGTCTACTCTGCTCTGATTGGTCAGATGGCCCAGTCTGTTGTGATTGGTCTACTCTGCTCTGATTGGTGAGATGGCCCAGTCTGTTGTGATTGGTCTACTCTGCTCTGATTGGTCAGATGGCCCAGTCTGTTGTGATTGGTCTACTCTGCTCTGATTGGTCAGATGGCCCAGTCTGTTGTGATTGGTCTACTCTGCTCTGATTGGTGAGATGGCCCAGTCTGTTGTGATTGGTCTACTCTGCTCTGATTGGTCAGATGGCCCAGTCTGTTGTGATTGGTCTACTCTGCTCTGATTGGTCAGATGGCCCAGTCTGTTTTGATTGGTCTACTCTGCTCTGATTGGTCAGATGGCCCAGTCTGTTGTGATTGGTGTAAGACGAATCACTGACAAAGCATTTTCGGCTGGAGACCATTTATCATGCACTTTGAAACTTTGCAGACCTTTTACACATACAAACAGCTATATTACACACTACATGAAATGTAATATCTGGAAAAGCATAATATGGGTATTTTAAAAGATACTGTGTCATGGTGTACCCTGAATAACTCTGTGCAGATACGACTCAAACTCAGGAGGTGAACGTGAAATTCAGAGAACCATGTTGGAACTGCTCAACCAGCTGGATGGCTTTGATTCGCGTGGAGATGTGAAGGTCATTATGGCTACCAACAGAATAGAAACCCTTGACCCTGCTCTTATTAGACCGGGTAAGATGCTACTGCAAACTGATACTATGATATTCTAAGTCTGTGTGTACTTTAGGTGCAACTTCAAGCAGAGGTGTGATGAAGTAACGGATTACAAATGAGTCTGACCCATGGCGTTATACTGCATCTCTGTCAGCACGTGATGTGATAAAACGACAGCTCGTTAATAAAAAAACATTAGTTTGATCCGTTTCATACAATCCGCCTTCATGTAGCATGTGCACTTGCGCAAAAACATTTTTCAAGCTAAACAGTTTTGTTCCAGTCAGTTGTGGACGCTGCCGATAGAGCAGCCTATTCGCCGTGGCCCCGCAGAGAGACGTGCGTTTGTGTGTGATTTTAAAAATTATATTTATTATCTGTATAACTATTTGAGTAAATGTAGCTTTGTAAAAGGTAGGGGATGATGCCCCCCACACCCCCCTTTTTAGAACAATGTGTATTTATGTTTAAATAGTAACATATTCAATTGTGTTAGCTCACTATATTTGCCTATTTCAATGTGTAAGGCGAGGTAAACTGTTTGATAATATTAGTGAATCCCATTTCTTTATCACAGAACGCTAAAACTAGAACTGTTATGGAGGAGAGAAATGGCTCTTTTTAATCTTTTGTGATTCTGAACTCTCAAATGAGTTTCCAATAGTTTTTGTATTCTTTGCACTGTTCTGAACATTGATATTTTATGTGCAACAATTGCTCGCTCGGTGTTTATTAAGGACTTTCAACTTTTTTTCATAGATTATGATTTAAATGGTGAAGAGTGTACTTAAAATGACAACATTTTGAGTTGGCAGTCAAAATTTAAACCGTAGGATGATAGATGTTCCTCATTCTCCCTTGCAAACAGTAAAAGATAATGTGAATAACAGTATGTACACTCACTGTTTTCTACATTTTTAAATTGCAGTGCACAGTGTTTATTAGGGGTAGAATCCGCAGCTCAGTACTCACTACTCATGAGTACTTTTGGTCACACTTTAGTTTAGGGTCCAATTCTCACTATTAACTAACTACTAACTACGACTTTTGCCTCAATGAACTCCTAATTACTGTTTATTAATAGTTAGTAAAAGAGTTGTTAAGTTTAGCTATTGAGGATTAAGGGATGTGGAGTATGGTCATGCAGAATAAGGCATCATTATGTGCTTTATAAGTACTAATAAAGAGCTAATATCCTCGTAATATGCATGCAAATAAGCAACTAGTTAATAGTGAGAATTGGACCCCAAACTAAAGTGTTACTGTACTTTTAAATACGCTACTCAAGTAAAAAACTCGTGTCTGTCTTCCTCTCCAGGTCGTATCGACCGTAAGATTGAGTTCCCGTTACCAGATGAGAAAACCAAAAGAAGGATCTTCCAGATTCACACCAGCAGAATGACTGTGGCCACGGATGTGAACCTGGACGACCTCATCCTGGCTAAAGACGACCTTTCAGGAGCCGATATTAAGGTATGTTGATGTGTTTGTCAGGGGTTTAGTTCATCTTAAAGTGTTGCAGAACGCTCTGCTGCCCTCTTGTGTTGTTTTTCATCTTTTCAGGATGCAGATGACTTGTTCATTATATCTCATCTCTTGATTTCCTGTCTCCTCAGGCCATCTGTACAGAAGCAGGGCTCATGGCCCTCAGAGAACGCAGGATGAAGGTCACCAACGAGGACTTCAAGAAGTCTAAAGAAAATGTGTTGTATAAGAAGCAGGAGGGCACCCCCGAAGGGCTCTATCTCTAATCTTCCTCCAGTTTTTATTGAATCTATGTGAATATGTGAGTGTGACACATTTGGCTATAATATGCGCATGTTTTTGACTGACGATTTGTTATTCGGTCATGTGATCAGAAAATAAATGCTAGAGCTGTATGAGAGAGTTGATTGGTTTGTTTCTTCTCCTTAGCTCACATAAGGTGATAATGGGATATGTGCTTGTGCTTACCAAGGCTGCATTTATTTGATAAAAAAATACTGCAAAATTTATTTCAGAATTTACAATAACTGTTTTCTATGTAAATATATCGTAATTCCTGTGATGTCAAAGCTGAATTTTCAGCTTCATTACTCCAGTCTTCAGTGTCACATGATCTTTCAGAAATCATTCTAATATGCTGATTTGACGCTCAAATATGATCAATTATTATTGGTTCTCAATTATTAATAATAGGTATTATTATTGTTAATAATAATGTTGAAAGCCATTTTTGTTTAATATATTTATACTTTTGCTTAAAATTTTAAACCGTAACATTTGATCAATTGCATCCATGTTGAATAAATTGATTTTTTTTTTTTAAATCTTACTTACCCCAAACTTTGAATGTTAGTGTATCACGGTTTCCACAAAAATATGAATCAGCACAACTGTTTTCAACATTGATAATAATCAGAAATGTTTCTTGAGCAGCAAATCATCATATTAGAATGATTTCTGAAGGATCATGTGACTCTGAAGACTGGAGTAATGATGCTGAAAATACAGCTTTACTCACAGGAATAAATGGCATTTTAAAAAATATATTAAAACAGTTATTGTAAATTGCATTAATATGGCACAGTATTACTGTTATGTTTTTTTCTAAGTATCAGGTTAACCCTATGTCATGGGCACAAAATGTCCCCACAAAGATGGCAATATCTGAAATCCTTGTCCTTGTGGGAACATTTTTTGGTCCCCACGAGGAAAACGGCTTATAAATCACACCGCGTGAAAATGTAAAAATGCAGAAAGTTTTCTGTGATGAGTGGTTAGTGTAAAGGGATAGAATATACAGTTTGTACAGTTTAAAAACCATTATGGCTTCGGAAAGAAACTGTCAATCTGTTGCTTTTTAATGTCCTAGTTTTTCATTCATTTGAATGTTCTTAGGTTTCGATTTCAAGGAATTTTACTGAAAATCTGTTCTCCTGAACTTCATTATCTTAATCAGAAAGTCATAGTAAGAGCCTGCAGAGAAAGCATATCCTCAGAGAGAGGAACGATTAATTTCCCTTCCGCAGAGGTTCTGCTAATTATTAGACGAAAGGACCAGCGTCTTTTCTCCAGCTTGACTCTGCAGAGACTGCCATAATTAATGCAGCGTTTTTAGATTGTTCTCGTCTCAATCTCAGTTCTCCGTTCCCCTTAATTATTTAAAACAACCTCAACAACACTTACTGGGTGTGCTGCAGCTCTTATTTGTGCACGTTATTTCTAAATACATTATTATTAAATATTATGGCAGACATTCACCTTATTAGGAGTGCTACTGTATATAAAATGCTTTAAATCCACTAGGAAGAAAGTTTTCCTCTTTTCAGTCCTGTCTTGAAGACGTCATTCGTATCGACTTCTGCAAAGCAGCGTGAAGAGTGTGATGGAAATGCTTCCCTTGATGTAAAGGAGCGTCTAATGAAAGTGTCCAGTCAGCAGAAAGCAGTCAGTCTGCGGCCCTTCACGGGATCAGTGCTGCATTCTCCTTAAATCATTCGAGACTAGCTCACGTGGACCGAAAGCTGCATGCAGGACCCTTGGATGTGTGTGTCACAGGGGCAAAGCTTCTACAACTCGAGCCCGGTTCATCAGTGATCCTCCACACTAAGGACACTAGGTGTCGTGTTTGCCCATTTTAATAGAACATACTCTTCTTGGCAAGAGGTAACACAACAAGGCCATGTATATAGATATATACATATATATATACACTCACCGGCCACTTTATTAGGTACACCTGTCCAACTGCTCGTTAACACTTAATTTCTAAGCAGCCAATCACATGGCGGCAACTCAGTGCATTTAGGCATGTAGACATGGTCAAGACAATCTCCTGCAGTTCAAACCGAGCATCAGTATGGGGAAGAAAGTTGATTTGAGTGACTTTGAACGTGGCATGATTGTTGGTGCCAGAAGGGCTGGTCTGAGTATTTCAGAAACTGCTAATCTACTGGGATTTTCACGCACAACCATCTCTAGGGTTTACAGAGAATGGTCCGAAAAAGAAAAAACATCCAGTGAGCGGCAGTTCTGTGGGCGGAAATGCCTTGTTGATGCCAGAGGTCAGAGGAGAATGGCCAGACTGGTTCGAGCTGATAGAAGGGCAACAGTGACTGAAATAACCACTCGTTACAACCGAGGTATGCAGCAAAGCATTTGTGAAGCCACAACACGCACAACCTTGAGGCGGATGGGCTACAACAGCAGAAGACTCCACCGGGTACCACTCATCTCCACTACAAATAGGAAAAAGAGGCTACAATTTGCAAGAGCTCACCAAAATTGAACAGTTGAAGACTGGAAAAATGTGGCCTGGTCTGATGAGTCTCGATTTCTGTTGAGACATTCAGATGTTAGAGTCAGAATTTGGCGTAAACAGAATGAGAACATGGAACCATCATGCCTTGTTACCACTGTGCAGGCTGGTGGTGGTGGTGTAATGGTGTGGGGGATGTTTTCCTGGCACACTTTAGGCCCCTTAGTGCCAATTGGGCATCGTTTAAATGCCACGGCCTACCTGAGCATTGTTTCTGACCATGTCCATCCCTTTATGGCCACCATGTACCCATCCTCTGATGGCTACTTCCAGCATGTCACAAAGCTCTAATCATTTCAAATTGGTTTCTTGAACATGACAATGAGTTCACTGTACTAAAATGGCCTCCACAGTCACCAGATCTCAACCCAATAGAGCATCTTTGGGATGTGGTGGAACGGGAGATTCGCATCATGGATGTGCAGCCGACAAATCTGCGGCAACTGTGTGATGCCATCATGTCAATATGGACCAAACTCCCTGAGGAATGCTTCCAGCACCTTGTTGAATCTATGCCACGAAGAATTGAGGCAGTTCTGAAGGCAAAAGGGGGTCCAACCCGTTACTAGCATGGGGTACCTAATAAAGTGGCCGGTGAGTGTATATATATATCATTTTTGGCAATGTTGTAAGTATTTGTTACTTTCTTGTAAAATATATTTTTCTCAAAAAATGCAAGATACTTTATTAAAAAAAAATATTAGTCCGAACTCACCCCTGTCACACAAACCATTCTCCGCCTATAATCATTTAAACTCCACCCTTATGTGACATCATTTACTAGAAATGACATCATTCAGGTCTCTTTAACAGTGATTCAGAAGATGATAATTGGTACCCTACTTTTTCATACATATTTTTGATGCGTATTATTGTCGGGGAAGGTAGTGTCAAGGTTAACAACTCAACCCCATCACATTAAATTAAGATGGACAATTTTTTTTTTTTTTTTTTTTAAATCCATAAGTATATACAATGTACTTGTTTTATTGCTGCCATATATGGTCTACTCTCCTGCACTACACGAGGAGCAGTGGTCATTTTGAGCAAAAAACACCAACATCTCTGTGTATTTCTCATTGTTTCGGGGTTGAAAACTTTTAATAAAATATGTCAATAACATAAAATAGTCATTGTTTCAGTAAATATATACTTACCAAAATCATGACAACTCATAATTTTGTTATAAATAGAATATTTGATGTTAATGTGTCCCTTTAAACTTTGACGCGCATCCTATGTCAGAGATGGAAGCCACATCAGCAGCAGAAAGAGTTGTTATTTTTTGGGGGGAAAAAATAGGAAAGACTATTAAAAATAAAGGCATTTCTTGCTGATTACCACCTGACATGTTAAGGACTAACACAGGAAAATAAAAGTTATTTAATGCCTGAGGTGGGAAAATATGATTTTGTGTAGGTTTGATATTTGCCAAATGATGTGGGGTATTAAGAAAATGAATATGTCGTTTTAAAAAAAATCCAAGTTGAAATATTACCGATTCCCAGGAATGACCCATATATTAGGATGTGGTTACTGTGTGGTAGAGAGCATAACTACCTATAAAACAGTGTGTGTGCTTTTTGCTGCTAAATATTTAGTGAAAACTGTGACACAGTTTCTTTAGGATTATTTTATAAATTTAAAGTTTAAAAGAACAGCATTTATTGAAATGGTCTAACATTATAAATTAAACTGTCCCTTTTGATAAATGTATTGTGTCCTTGCTGAATAAAAACATTTTATTTTACTAATCTACGATATCCAAGTAGCCTACTACAAGATTAATAGGCCTGATTTTCAGTTCTACTGAGGTAGAAAATACTCTTTAAAATCGAAATATGGTTAAATACAGCGCACAGGTTTATGCACTGCATTATAATTTATAATTTACGTATTTAATTAAAAAAAAATGTCATATCATTTTATATTTACAAAACTGTTGATTGGAGTTCTACATGTGATTCGCTCATGTAGCCAATAGAAAGTGTTGAACATTCAATGTGAGTAAAACCTGATGCACTTCCCCTTTTTCTTCCTCTTTTTTAAAGAGAATGTACTGCAATGTGGTGCAATAAAAGCAAACGTAGACAAATACTAATAAAATCTCCTTCAATAATAATAATAAACAAAATTCTAAGAAGTTCTGGATGGGATTTCTATTATACACCGTTGCCTGGTGCATTGCAGGTCCAGGGCGGCCAATAATGCCCCCCTTAACAATGTGTATAATATTGCAGGTCCGCGTCAACCAATCAGGTGCTCCGTAACAAACTGACACCGTAAATACTCGAGCGGAGGGAAATCCACGCTGTCCTTCCGCCTGGAGAAACTAGTGCCACACATCACTTGAGCCTGTCCTTCATAAAAGCAGCCAGATTAGCGTTTATTTAATAATTATCTAACAATGGCATTCAGTTTAATAAGATTCTCCAAACAACAGAATCTTCTATTCTATTACATACACATAAGCATGAATTAACTTTGATGCTACTACAGTTCTTGTGTGTTATTAATAACCTTATAGATAATTAGTTCTAGGACAATGATCGGAATAAAATAAGCAATTTTAGTCAGTAGAAAAGGTTTCAACAGTTATGAACATCCTTCAACATTTTAAACAAGGAGCAGTATTGATTTATGTAATACTATGCAGCATTCTTTTGTTAAAATACTTTTGTAATCATAATAATTCATTCATTTATAGTCCATATTTGAGACCTGTGTCCTGGAGGGTAAAAAGCCCCATCTTAAACCAGCCTATGATGGTCCTAGCTGAGTTAAGTTGGTCTTCTAAGCCAGCTGAAATGCCCAAAAACGCTTTTCATTAGGGAAATAACAGCACACATCTCTTTTGGTGACAAATGTATAATATATCAGGAGACCTACATGAATTATTAGTGCCTCAAACTGGACCATGGACAATTCATTCATCTAGTAAATCACAAAATGAGCAAGTTCTTGTCAATCAGTATGATTGAGTGGGAATTCTTCAACAGTTATTCATTTACTCACATTCTTTAAAACAGGGAGCTGGACTTTTTAATACTCTCCACAGACTTGAAAGAATCCATCACTCTAATGCTGAAATATTTCAGCAGGACAGAAAGAAAACGCTGTTCACTGCATCATCTGCGTGCTTCGGTCGGTCCGCCTGCGCTGTAACGGCGCGTGTCATTGGCTGAGCGGTAAAGGCAGGGCCGCTCCGCGCGCACTGAGTCAGGAAGTGAGTGGCGGATGAATACATGTGCGCTTCTTCGTTCTCGCCGAGTGAGTGAGTCCACACAGCAGCCGGAGCCGCAGCAGTGCACGCGCATCCCGGAGAGAGAACGAGAGATAGAGAGAGATAGATAGTGAGAGAGACCTGCTGCGTTTAGTTTAGTCTGGAGATTATCATCATCACCAATTCCCTACAAACATGGTACGTGATCTTTAATGCCATATACTATTTGATGCAGTAACTCTAACTGTCTGCCCGCACCAAATTAACCTCAAAACAAGCTTTTAATTAAAGCATTAGTTTGTAGACTATGCAACTTTCCGAGATAATTTACTATAACGACGAGCTCATTTTAAGCATTGCGCGTTATTTTATCAGTTTAGTGATGGATCGGTCAGTGAAGCCCGAATCTACAACTGCGCAATTCTTACAATCCTTTATCTTACATACGGGTTATACACATCAAATGATGCGGAATACATGTCATGTATTATAATTGTTGTATTATATCCTAAAAATAAGATGATTTAGATCAACACGACAGCACATTGGAAACCTGTAGTTGTGATATATTTATTTTAGACAGACTGGTCAGTGTTTTAGGGGTCGAGGGTCAGTAGGTTGGGTTGATAATGATGTTTATGCTGATATGCTTATGTGAAATATGATGGATGGGACATGATGAAGATGATTGTAGATGTGTCTCAGATGAGGATGTGTAGGACGTTGCATCATCTATCTCCCTGTATACCCCCTCTAAAGACTGAATTACAACAGCCTGGTCAGTATTTCCCATCTAAAACCACTTTACTGACATTTAAAGGCCTCACTAATGACAGGCAGTTGTATTTTAACCAAACCTCAGTGTTGCGTGGACTAAAAGGGTGTAACTTAGGCTTATGGTCATTGGCGCCCAGTTTCCTGTATTTTCTCACTGTAGCTTATGCAAATAAAAGGTGTGTCGATGTGAAATGTCTGTCTTGTACCTCTTTTTGTTTGTTTGTTGAATCTGAGAAGTATTGCTTGATATTTCACGTGTGATGTAATTGTGGTGCATCCTAGTAACCAGAACCTGTTGGTGCTTTTTTTATTATTATTATTTTTATATATATAAATGTGCTTCCCTTTAGAAATCCGAATTAAAAAAATATCATTAATTGGTAGTTCGTGTTAGCTCAGGTCCATTAAAAATACTGGTACAACTTAGTAATGTATTAGTAAATGTTAAATTAACTTTAAGATGCCTAATGAATGCTTTAAAAGTCTAACTAATGTTAGCCAAATTGAACCTAATAACCGATTTTTTTAATCTAAACTATGCTATCTGCATTTATTTTATACTCGTACTGTATGTCAACAATTGTGTACGTTTTATCAATTTTTATTTCTTCTTTAGCAGAACCTTAACTGAGAGCTTAAGTCTTTAGTAAGCTGTGACAGATCAAACTCTTGAGCAATAACGTTTCCCCCCTGGGGTTTTGTTCGTATGGCTAGATAGATAACCAAAAATGAAAATTGTTAGTTGTAGTTGAGTTTCTTTCTTCTGCTGAACAAAAAGATATTTTAAGAATGATAGTAACCAAACAGTTGGCGTAGCCTTTGACTTCCATAGTTGAAACAAAAATGGAAGTGAGTCAATGGGTGTGTTCGACTGTTTGATTACCAACAGTCTTCAAAATATCTTCTTCTGTTCGGCGGAAGAAAGAAATTCATACAGGTTTGGAACAACTTGAGGGTGAGTAAATGATGACAACATTTTCCTTTTTGGGTGAACTAGGCAGGCTATCCCTTCAAGTGTTTCTGGACTGGTTTGGTTTATTGTAGGGGGTTTGATCCCTGTATTGGTTTTGTGTGTGTTCTAATAAAGAGGAACAGCATCTGGTAGGAGACAGCTGTCCTGGGTGAAGATATGATGTAATGTTTCCTGAAACTCATGCTTTAGCCTATGTGTTGGGACTCTTGAGGATTATGCTGTGTATACTGACCTACATTCATTTGCCTGAACATTTTTAATAAGCGATAGAGCAGCGTTTTAGACAAACACATCTCCGCGCAGATGGGTGACAGTAGTGTCAAGCACAGTAAGTACAGCCGACGGGATTCATCCGTGCGGTTTCTGGAGTTCTAGAGATGTAGTTGTAGAGAGCCTTCAGGTGTGAGATTGAAAATAGAGGAGAAACAGGTCAAATTTAACAGGCTTTGATTTCCATCTTGGTTTTGTGGTCACATTTTCTGTAAACGCTTCGCTATTAGGAAAATGTAGGCTAAAACTGAGAAGTGATATTTTGATACTGACCCTATTGAAAAAAAATGTATTTTTCAAAAAGCCAACTTGACCTCATTCTTTTACTAAAATTACAGACAACAATTTTGACAAACTTGAAAATATAACAAAAAATGTCACATACCAAATAAGTAACATATATAAAGTTATATATATGAAAGCTTGTTTCTGCCACTGAATTAAATATAAATACCTATCTTCCTGATAGGTCTGCCGATAAGTGTTGAAAAGGGAACTACCGGTTCTATTAAATCACACAACTGTTGGTGACTAAAATGGCCAAACATTGGTCGAATGTTGACCTGGTCTGTGACAAACAGTTGAGTAGTTTCAGCCAAAGATCATCATGGCAACTATTAGAAAAGTACGATCAATTCGACTCTTAACTGTCTATTAGCTGTGACTGATACACGATTACCATGTTGTTGGACGTTTTGGGAATTGTCGGGTCCTAGAGCACCTGCTTAAATATGCATGTTTGCGATGTCTTCATCGACCTAGAACCACTACTTTCCATTTATTGCCCATTATAAAAGAGAAACGTTTCAGACAGCAGGACAGACAGTCTTCAGAGTCCCGGAGCAGCTGCGTCTCTTCCTCTACGGTCCCCGTCCCCCAGGAGGAGGCTGATGGAGGTGTACTGGGCACATGGGGCATGAGGAATGAAATGAGCCATACAGCTGGCAGCAGAAAGACCCAGATATCCAGCAAACCAGCACTCTGTCTCAATGTATCTGCCAGTGACTCATGTGTGGCTCTTAAGCCAGTGCATGTTATATGTCATATCATGTGAGAGGATGGCTGCTTAATGCATCAAGGAAGTGGAATAATTAGTGTGATTGAAGGGATGGCTGCGTGTTCCTCTTTCTTTGGTCCATTAGCCCCACTCCACCCCTTCATAATGTGGGTTATTTGTTTTCCTAGCAGCTCTCATCCACTTTAGCAAGCTCTTGAGGCTTTTCCCTCCTCACTGTTCACCAAAGGCCTGGGTTGTTGGTCAATGTCCTGTAATCTGATGCTACTGTATAAAGTGTTTTTGTTTGGATGTCACATCTAAAATCTAAAAATGCATTTGCAACCTTTTCATGCCACAAGTGTCACATTATCAGTTCAGTTTTTGTATAATGGCAAACAATAGGACTCTTCTTGGTGTATTAAAGATGTATTTAAACCAGAAATGTTTTTTTTCTTCTGTGTCTACCACTTAGTAACCAGTATCTCTTTTCTTGTAGGCTGACCAGTTAACAGAGGAGCAGATCGCAGGTGAGAGTTCATGCTCATCATCGGATCACTTTATGTGTGTTTCGAAGCATACATTATATACAACCGCTGTTGTCTTATCTCAGAGTTCAAGGAGGCTTTCTCCTTATTCGACAAGGATGGTGACGGCACCATCACGACCAAAGAGCTGGGCACAGTCATGCGGTCGCTGGGCCAGAACCCCACGGAGGCAGAGCTGCAGGACATGATCAATGAGGTGGACGCTGACGGTGAGTGCATTTGAAAGGAAACTATGAATCAACGTTGAATCCAATTGATCACCTGTTTCTTAATATCTCCAAATGAATGGGTTAGTTCACCCACAAATTCTGTCAGCATTTACTCACCCTCAAGATGTTCCAAACCTGTATGCATTCCTTCTTCTGATGAACACAGAAGATATTTTGAAAAATGTGGGTAACCAAACAGTTGACGGCACTCATTGACTTCCACAAAATACAATGGAAGTCAATGGCTATCGTCAAAGGTTTGTTACCCACATTCTTCAAAATATCTTCTGTGTTCATCAGAAGAAGGAATGCATACAGGTTTGGAACATCTTGAGGGTGAGTAAATGACATAATTTTTGGGTGAACTAACCCATGTGTCTGACTGCTCAGTCAAACAGAGCATGTTTGTTCAGGAAATCAGCCTTCAAATTTCAAATGGCTCACTTATAATTGGGTCAGTGACTCAACACTTTTTTTTTTAAATCCTTTTAATTTATTTAAAGAGATTACATTATAAAGATTACATTATAAATACAATTTATAAAGTGGCATCAAGTCAAGTTCAACCTTATTAAATAGTTAGGCAAAATATTGTATTATTATTTCTTAGAAATGAAATATATCATTAAAACAGCTTATTATAAAAAAAATAAAAAAAATGTCTGCCAAATAAGTCATTTGGTTTTACCAACCTGCAGAAGCATGCAGGGGGAAAAATCATAGTGAGGAAATCATAAAGAAGCTCACTGCAAACCAATTGAAATGTCACAAAAGCTCTACAAAAACCTATTCATGTATTAAAGGGATCATCAGATGCCCATTTTCCACAAGTTGGTGTGATTCTTTAGGGTCTTCATGTAAAGTTTGTAACATACTTTGGTTAAAATTCCCTTAATGGTTGTGTAAAACAACACACTTTTTACCTCCTCAAAAACAGCTCTGTTCACAGCGACCCGTTTCGGTGCATGTCTCTTTAAATGATAATGAGCAACTGCTCACCCCACCCCTCTCTTCCATGGGGCGCGTCGACACAAGACACGTAAAGTGATGCCTTGGCGGACAGTATACAAATGGCTGAGGGCGGAAATATAGGACAGTCCGTCATCGGTCGTTGGCAGAGCATGAGCAATATGACATCATATTGCTCAGAAAGTCCAAACGGCTTGATTATTGAGAGTGTTTAGGTTTTTTGAGGATAAAAAAAAAAGGAGTGAATGGATTTTTTTTCATTATATGGTGGTTGTGTCCACACACTGCAAACACATTTATATGCAAACACTATGTAAAAGTGAATTTTGCATCCGATGACCCCTTTAAGGGAGTAGTTCACTTTCAAATGAAAATTAGCCCATGATTTACCCACCCTGGCCTCAAGCCATCCTAGGTGTATATGACCTTCTTCTTTCAGACGAATACAATTGGAGTTATATAAATAAACATCCTGGCTCTTCTAAGTTTTATAATGGCAGTGGATTGCAACCAACAGATTGAAGCTCAAAAACGTGCATCCATCCATCGTAAACGAATTCCAAACGGCTCCTGTGGGTTAATAAAGGCCTTCTGACCTTCAACGTATGTGAGTAATGCGACGTACTGCTGATATTTACGCTACGCCATGATGCACTACACTACTTCTGACATCATAAATCTCGTAAGTTGCGCATTAGGGGCAAGTAGAGACTGCGTATGACCGTTTGGCCGGAAGCTAGAATTTTACTTTGTAACGTGTTAAATATGAATATTTTTCTTATTCAAACTCATCGTTTTGCTTCAGAAGGCCTTTATTAACCCCCCGGAGCCGTTTGGAGTTAGTTAACGATGGATTGATGCACATTTTTGAGCTTCAATCTGTTGGTTGTAATCCACTGCAATCCCTTTTTCTTTATCATAGACCTTCTTATTCGTCATTATTTACCCAGTTGTCTTTGCATATTAAACTGGCATAGCAATTAAAAAAAACCAACACCCTTCATCCTTAAAGGATTAGTTCACTTTAAAAAAAACTTTTGCTGATAATTTCCTCACCCCCATGTCATCCAAGATGTCCATGTCTTTCTTTCTTCAGTCGAAAAGAAATTAAGGTTTTTGATGAAAACATTCCAGGATTTTTCTCCATATAATAGACTTTGCTGGGCACCAAATGGTTCAAGGTCCAAAAGACAGTTTCAGTGCAAACTGCAAACTGTTCAAAGGGCTTTAAACGATTCCAGACGATGAATAATGGTCTTATCAAGCGAAACGATCGCTCATTTCAAAAATAAATAACAAAGTTTAAGTTTAATAATGTCAAATGCTCGCCTTGCTCTGTTCTGTGATGCACGTTCGTGACTCTCCTGTTCGAACTCGTTCATCAAAATGAACAAATCTTTTTTCGAGTCATTTGGTTCATTTAACGAACGAAATGAACGAATTGACTCGGAAAAAGATTTGTTCATTTTGATGAACGAGTTCGAACAGGAGAGTCACACAGAACAGAGCAAGGCGAGCATTTGACATTATTAAACTTAAACTTTGTTATTTCTTTTTTAAATGAGCTATCGTTTCGCTTGATAAGACCCTTATTCATCGTCTGGTGTCGTTTAAAGCCATTTGAACAGTTTGCAGTTTGCACTGAAACTGTCTTTTGGACCTTGAACCGTTTGGTGCCCAGCAAAGTGCATTATATGGAGAAAAATCCTGGAATGTTTTCATCAAAAACCTTAATTTCTTTTCGACTGAAGAAAGAAAGACATGGACATCTTGGATGACATGGGGGTGAGTAAATTATCAGCAAAAGTTTTTTTTAAAAGTGAACTAATCCTTTAATTTAAAGGTACCGTTCAAATGACTTTTTTCACATCTGTTATTGGAGTAAGTACAGCCATTTAATCTCATCCACTCGTCGTTGTGACTCACTCAGCAAGGAGTGACACCAGAAAACTCTTCTATCAGCCTCCTGTCACAGACCTCTCAGACAGACAGACAGACGAGATGGTGTGGGAGGATCAGGAGACTGCAAGACTTCTAAAGCTGGTCAGATTCGCGAGTCCTCTTCGATCAGCGAATCAATGGGCCTGTGGGATGCAGCCTGCCTCTCTCCTGCCGTGACATGATCTAGGTCAGACGGCAATAATGCGAGTAGTGGAAAATAAAAGTAATTGCATAATCCACTCTTTGCGTTCGTCATCTCGTTCCCACACACTCATGCAACTCAGTTGCCGGGAAACCGTGGAAGAACTTATTTTGAGAATCGACACTGGAAGTGACCTGGAAATGGCTGATTTCAGCACAATCGTGTTGCCGAGTGGTTCTTCTAGTAATGAATTGCGTCCCCCTCCGGTACCTTTGAAAGACTGTGCTAATATGACTCAACATCCTGTGGCAATCAAAGGTCTTCCATTTTTATCCGCCACGCTAAGAATGTGGCTTGTTGCACACGTTTTCATTGAATACGAGTTTCACTCGTGGCTATATTACGCCTCAGACCATTAAATCGCCATCTGCTGCAACCAACAGGACCATAGGTTTCAATCCAGAGTCAAAGTTCAATGTCTCTTTTAGGATGGCTAATCCTTGACCAGTGGTTTCACACATCCAGTCAGTAATCCAGCCTGGTCTTTATTACCGCACACTTGACCTATTTCAGACCTCGATGAACGTTAGACATGGTTTAACTCCTTTACTGTCAAGCTGCGGCTAGTCCGTGCCAGCTGTAGGGATCTAGCCACGTCTCTTATATCACAGTAACCCTCTCAGCTTTTATTATTCACCGCAGCCCCTCGAGGACTATCATCTCCTGCTAATCCAGAGTGAGTCACATGGTTTTTGATCTCTCTTAGCGAATCCCCACCTCCCAGTACTCTCATCTCTTTGATGGCTTGCTTGTAAACTGTGAGTGACCACTGCGTGACACGGCTACGGTTTGCGTTCTAAGAGCTTTCCAAGCAAATGACCCTAAGATGGGGTGAAGGCGTCATCACCCAAAACAAAGATCTTTAACTGCAATTTTACTAGGCTTTAACTGTTGTGACACTTCAATATGGAAGCCTGAGAGACAAAAATAAAAGGGGTATTTGTGAGATGAATTTTAAAATAAGAAATAAAGTTGTAATTATGAGAAAAAGCCACATTGCATGAAATAGCAATCAAGAGAAATGGTCAAGTTTATGAGAAACAAGTTTATTCAGAGTTGTTTTTCTTCTAATTTTAAGATTTAAAGTAACAACAGGTAGTTTTTTGCTCTCGGGCTCCCCCTACAGTTGAGAAACAGTATTGTCCTCTACTACTGTCGTAAACTCTGTCATCCTACATGCACGTGCAATTGTTGACAACCAGGATAGCCCTGAACACAGTAGGAGGAGGTCACATGCAGGTGTTCTGCTTGCGTCGCGTGTGAAATGTCTTCATCCCAGGTACAGTGGCATATATTTCAGCATGTCATATGAATATAATTTCATGGGTTTTATTTTTTTTCTAACGACAAATGATCGCGATGCTCACGTTTACAAGCCAGCGTCATTATAGTAGCCTAGTCTATTGGTTACCGTTTTACTGGATCTATATGATACTTCAATGCAATGTTTGAGTGGTTGATAATAACCATATATCGTCAATATTATAATATCAAGCTACCATAAATGAATCTGCAAATTTTACAAATCGATTTGCATTATAGCTTGAGGCAAGACAAATAAACAAATATCACAGACATGTTAGGTATCCTAAAATATGATTTTATTAATAATCTTCCTCCTTTCTTTGTACATGTTGAGTAGACTACACTTTTTAGGTCAAACATTTGCTATTTGCATTTCATCGATTGCAAAGTTCAAATCAGAACGAGAATACTAGCGATAGCTAACCATCAAAAACTAGAATATCGTTTACTAGCTACCAGATTGATAATTCGCTACTACTCTAGCGAATTAGAGAGGTTAGAGAGAGGCATTCTTTTTTCGATGGGGGGTTCGATGCTCCCTGCACACGCAAGGTCTCTCGCTCGCTTTCTCTCTCTGCCGTCCACGCGCGTTGGAGCACAGTCTCTGTCTCGCGTGCGCGCTCGCTCTAGATTCCGGGAGATTTGAACTAATTTGCGGTATAACTTGTCGATCACGAGTGGCTCAACAGGTAGAGATCTATAGATAAACTCATCTTTCAGGGATTTGACCGACCGGGTTGACAATTTAGCATGAGAAACCGGGGGTGTGGCGTACGTGTGAGCGTGTGAAACCAATCAAATGCGGGTGTCTCACGGCCAATGCGTGAGAGTTGGCAGCTCTGCAATGTTGATCCTCGTTCTGCCTTTAACGCGATCACTTTCTCTTTTTCTCTTTTTGCTTTGCTCCGATAAAACCTTTGCTTTCTTGTTTTTCTGTGCTGCTTCGGCCATGACTATAACATTTGGCTCGCACGTCCGATTTTAAGGAAGTGGTGGAAGTGACGTATATGCCGTAAAGCAGTCGAATTTTGTAGTTCTCTTTGTTCGCCGGTTACTACCCGAAACCCGAAGTTTAAAAGTACGATTAAAAACGCTACAGACCCCGTCAGGCTATGGCAGACGTGTCATTCAACCTATTGTAAGTCGATGTACCATCACAAGAGACTTGGAAATATATTATGAAGGTTGAAAAGTTACCTGTTGTTACTTTAAAAGTCGCAATTGCCTTATTTTGTTAAGGCCTGTTCACACCAAGGACGATAACGATATAGTTCTCAAAATCGTTCTAAATCTAACGACACAGAGGAAGGATATCGTTGGAATCACTTTCAGAATGATTTTCCCAGCTGATGAACGCTAAAAACATTGCGAGCCAATCAGAATCCACCAGACTTTAATGAGCTTGAGCATTTAAAGAGGCAGATGACAAAACTGCAGCACACGCTTGGAATAAACAGAACGTGGACGCCAATACAGTTATCGTTATCTTTATAGTTATTGTTCTTGGTGTGAACGGGCCTTTACTCTGAGGCGGAAATAGTTTATTATACCTCTCAGAGTATTTGAGGTGAACATTCCTGTCAATACTTCTGTTTTCACTCAAATTTCACTTCCCTTTTTCTTAGGAAATGGAACCATAGATTTCCCAGAGTTCTTGACGATGATGGCCAGGAAAATGAAGGACACAGACAGCGAGGAAGAGATTCGCGAGGCGTTTCGGGTATTTGACAAGGTATGTTTGAGCTGTAACTACTTTAGTTTGTTTATTACAGCCAAAATCGACTCGAATCTCAGATGTCACGGCAGTGAGGCCAGAGTTTTCCCGCCCTTTCTGTGACTTCTAATGTCTTATTCCTTCCAGGACGGTAATGGCTACATCAGTGCTGCAGAGTTGCGTCATGTCATGACAAACCTCGGCGAGAAGCTGACAGATGAAGAGGTGGATGAGATGATCAGAGAAGCCGACATAGATGGTGATGGTCAGGTGAACTATGAAGGTATGTTGCTTACCTCTCAACGCTCACTGTGTTTCCTACAACATTCCTTTGTTTAGTCATATGTTTGTTTGACTATTAAAAAGGGCAGTTTTGTAATACGGATAGTCCCGGTCCTTGATTCCAATTGATTGAGCCACTTTCGAAACCGTTGTAAATTACTCTACATTCAACTGTGATCTCATTACCTCATGATTTCTTAATGATTCATTCAGAGAACTTAAAATTCCTTTAAAATCTCATCTGTGATGTTTGCTCATTCCAACATGGAGATGAATAAAACACAGTATCTTTTACTTTAAGTTATCTGCGTCGAAAATGGCTCATATTTCCCAGAATGCACCATAATCGTACAGAGCACATGTGAAAGGGCCTCTTTTTGTCTTGCTGAAAGCGGAGCCTCTTGATTAGACTCGTATGAAAGCTATTTGGAAATGGGACGCTAATTACCGTGTGAATTCTACCTTCACCTCTTGATTAAAAAATTAATAAGCCATCGAACAATTTAGCAGCTGGGTGCGCAGCGTGGCATTCGGCCAAAAGCAACTGCCTAATCTCATTTTCTCTCCATCTCTCCTCTCAGAATTTGTACAGATGATGACCGCAAAGTGAAGCCGCCTCCTTCTGCCGTGCCCTCTTAGAAGAGAAAAAAAAATCAGTCAAATGTTTTACGTACCTCTTGGGAAAAAAATGTTTATTTATTCATAATGTTTCTGTTTAAAAATAATAATAATAATTGAATGTTAAAATAAAGTATCCTTTTGTCCACACAGAAAATAATGGAAAAAAAGTCAAATATCTGCATGAAATGGTTAGTGATCATGTCCCCAAAGATCAGTCTAGCATCAGTTATTCAAGAGAAAAATATCCTGTAACTACCTTCAAACTGAAGAAAAACAGCATTTGGTGAACTCCTTAAGTTCCGTCTGCTCTTGATAATGTTTGGGCTGGCCATCCTCCTTTTGTTCTCTTGTTTTTTTTCTGTTTTTTTCTTCTGTTCTTCATGCATGCAGCTTGAGCCCGGAGCTCATTCTCCAGCCAATCAGAGCGTGCTGAGTCCACTGAAGTGTTGTATTGTGTTTTTTTTAGTTTTTTGTTTTTATTTAAGAGGAACCACAAGTAGAGAGAAAGCTTGTAAATTCAAGTTCCGAGTGGAATGGGGCTTTAAGGTATTGCGGGGGATAACAAGCAAAAAAAAAAAAAAACATTTCGAAATTTTTTGGCATGATTTTACTTTTTGTTTAGTTTTTTTTTTTTTTTGTCAATCATTTGTTTTTGTTTCAATGACTTTCTTTTACTGGACGGCCGTCTCTGTGGTGTCTCACCATGATGGAGATGATGGAGGGATGTTCGAGATGGTTGGAGGACTGTCTGAGCCTTCACTTTTCTGTCCTCTGTTTCTTTACTCCTGAACGGTGAATTCTCCCCTGCATCTCTTCTGCGGCGGGAGTTTGCACTCCACTCTTCAGTTTGCATTCATTCCAAGTTGTACATGCTACTGTTTTAATATTTTCTTCGAATAAAGTGACCATGTACTTTACGACTCCTGCTCTGCTCTATGCTGTTCCTTATGAAAGTGTCCTGTGTCCGTTTGAGCTCAAATAGATCAGTGACCGCAGTAGACCACCTGTGTTCCAGCTAAATTACAGCTTCCTGTTGAGACGAAGCCATCAAACATTCAATAACCCGATCATCTAGCTTCCCTTCCAGTTTTCACCTTTTCTCAAGTGTCATTTTACACCTCAGTTTTCTCAACTTCACATATGTATGCATACATAGACACAATTCTCTTTAGAATTGACCTGTATAACGCAAAGCTCCTAATCTTAACTGCCGCCCACCCAAGAAGCAGGAGACAGTCTCACTCGCCAAACCCACACATTTTGACATCTGAGCTGCCCTGGGGTTAAATTAGGAGTATCAATATTTCACGTGAAAACGAGGCAGGATGTTGCCGTACCAGTAAGAAGAGAGCAGGATTTACCACCCTTCCCCCCCTCCTCCACACCTCCTCTCAACCATCAACAACACAGGCTAAAACCCTATCGTATTACACAACACAATGCAGAGACTGTCTCCTGCATGTTACAAATAAAAAAATAATTATTACAATTTTACAGGACAACTGTCAAATTAAATGAAAAAATAGCACAAGAAATTAATTGTATTTTATTTGCATAACTACATTTTTCAATTCGAAGTAGTGTGCACGTTTGGGCAGGTGCTCGGTCAAAAAAGTCTGAAAAAATCATTTTAAAAAAACAGCACACTCCTTTATCTGCTCCCATTAAACTGAAATAAATGTCCTTTTTTGATTCATAATATTTGTTCTTACATGAGGCACCACAAGCCTGTCGCAGATCACACGTTTCCTGCAGCGGTGTGTCCAGATCAGACGGCACTTGGCAACACTTGTTTGTGCAATTTATGTGCAACATCACTTGATGAAATATCACTGTAACATTTATCAGCTGTTTTTGTGGATATGGCTTCCTCCTGTATTTCTGAAGGTTTCTATTGCAAAACTGGCCCTTTTTTTCTCTCTGTATTATGACACCAGTCCGCATGTGAAAAAGTATATAAATCAAGTCCTTTGAATTTGACATGGAGTTCTCATATAAACTGTAAACCTGAATAAGTTGGCAAAACTCAGAACACATTTAGACAATCAGTTACATCAAATTGTTTATGTTAAGAAATTCAGAGTTTAAGTAAGCAGAACCTTATATAAAATTAGATTTTAGCATTTACCCTCCCTTTGAGTGTCATGGCAAAGCATGCTGGGAAATAGAAATCCCAGCCCAGTTTCAGTTAAAATTAAGGTAGTCTAAATTAAAAGAATCAAGTTAATAAGATGAAAACAATGAAACAATTCAGATTACTTAAAATGTGCAGCTTTGTGAACTCAAAAGAAAAATAAGGTTCTAAATACTCATTAAAGTAAATTTGCTTGAACTATTTTGTTTAATTTAAATTGGCTCTACTCAATCCAATTAATTATTTTGAGTGTTAGGGCTTACAGTGTGCTGTGTTTGAGTATTTGAACACTTAAAGGGCTAATTCACCAATGGCAAAATTTCCTTTCAATAAAACATGTGGTAACACTTTATTTCAAAAGTCCACTTAGACATTCTACTAACTATAAGTAACTTTGCAGCTACATGTCAACTAATAGTCATTAGAGTATTAGTAGACTGTCTGCTTAATATCTGCTAACACTTTATTTTATTTCTCCCCAACTGACATTCTACTGACTATAAGTAACTTTCCAACTGCATGTCAACTTATTCTACTAACCCGAACCCTAACCTAACAGTCTACCAATACTATATACACTCACCTAAAGGATTATTAGGAACACCATACTAATACTGTGTTTGACCCCCTTTCGCCTTCAGAATTGCCTTAATTCTACATGGCATTGATTCAACAAGGTGCTGAAAGCATTCTTTAGAAATGTTGGCCCATATTGATAGGATAGCATCTTGCAGTTGATGGAGATTTGTGGGATGCACATCGAGGGCAGGAAGCTCCCGTTCCACCACATCCCAAAGATGATCTATTGGGTTGAGATCTGGTGACTGTGGGGGCCATTTTAGTACAGTGAACTCATTGTCATGTTCAAGAAACCAATTTGAAATCATTCCAGCTTTGTGACATGGTGCATTATCCTGCTGGAAGTAGCCATCAGAGGATGGGTACATGGTGGCCATAAAGGGATGGACATGGTCAGAAACAATGCTCAGGTCGGCCGTGGCATTTATCCGATGCCCAATTGGCACTAAGGGGCCTAAAGTGTGCCAAGAAAACATCCCCCACACCATTACACCCCCACCACCAGCCTGCACAGCGGTAACAAGGCATGATGGATCCATGTTCTCATTCTGTTTACGCCAAATTCTGACTCTACCATCTGAATGTCTCAACAGAAATCGAGACTCATCAGACCAGGCAAGATTTTTCCAGTCTTCAACTGTCCAATTTTGGTGAGCTCTTGCAAATTGTAGCCTCTTTTTCCTATTTGTAGTGGAGATGAGTGGTACCCGGTGGGGTCTTCTGCTGTTGTAGCCCATCCGCCTCAAGGTTGTGCGTGTTGTGGCTTCACAAATGCTTTGCTGCATACCTCGGTTGTAACGAGTGGTTATTTCAGTCAAAGTTGCTCTTCTATCAGCTTGAATCAGTCGGCCCATTCTCCTCTGACCTCTAGCATCAACAAGGCATTTTCGCCCACAGGACTGCCGCATACTGGATGTTTTTCCCTTTTCACACCATTCTTTTTAAACGGTTGTGGGTGAAAATCCCAGTAACTGAGCAGATTGTAAAATACTCAGACGGGCCGTCTGGCACCAACAACCATGCCACGCTCAAAATTGCTTAAATCACCTTTCTTTCCCATTCTGACATTCAGTTTGGAGTTCAGGAGATTGTCTTGACCAGGACCACACCCCTAAATGCATTGAAGCAACTGCCATGTGATTGGTTGATTAGACAATTGCATTAATGAGAAATTGAACAGGTGTTCCTAATAATCCTTTAGGTGAGTGTATAATGAGAGTTAGTTGATGCTATACCTGACTTGAGAAAACAGAGAAAAAGGGCTGTTGTCTTCCATTTTGCCCAATAGGAAAACTTCAACACCCATAATGCACTGGGCATGTTGCCAGCAAACTTTAATTTTAAATGGTATCGACTTGTTTTGTTTCAGGAGTGAGCCGTAAAGAAGACCGCTATTACCATAATGCTATTTAAAGAGTAGAGTCTAATTACCAGTTAGAAACCTATTGTGCAATAACTGTTTTGTTCTGTCTCTGTGGACAGGGATACAAAAATGCGTAATTATAATCTGTAGTTTTCACAAAAGCTCCAAAACTGTCAAAAGTCCGCCGGATTTTTTTGCTGACAAATAAATAGGAATTTCTCAGAGCTGGACTGTTCATTTGTTCATTTACATTGTAACAATACAAAGTAGGTTGAAAATCAGCAAACTTGCACTTTAAGTCACTCTTAGAAATGTGTGAATTTCATTCAAATTGATCCAAACATCAAACTAAGAGTAAACTAAGTACAATCAACTTGGAAGTTAAGTCATTTTAACTTAAATTATTAAGTATAAAAGGTGAAAATTGCTTAACTTATTTTGATGAGTTAAAGCAATGTAAAACATATGTTGTTATAACTTATCATATAATCTTTTACAGTGTATCTTCATCTTTTATTCATGTATTGTTGAATCTGTGGCTCTGAGCAGGAAGCTGCAGAAACTGTCAGGCAAGAGAGAAACCGCAGACACACTGAGACTAACATCAACATACAGGATTACGAAGCCTGAAGACAGTTTGTTACATAACACTGCTGACAGCAGTTTCTTTCTGTGTGTGTGTGTGTGTGTGTGTGTGTGTGTGTGTGTGTGTGTGTGTGTGTGTGTGTGAGTGTGTGTGTGTGTGACCATGTCTCTGTGTGTATTGGAATACAGTATGGCAGAGTGCAACACAGTGAACCCGCCATGAAAAGTCACGCACAAAGCCCTGAAACACATAAAGCATAAAACCCCCTTTCAGACAGATTTTGTAATAAATTGCTTCATAAAAAACGTTTTTTCATGCGTCTTCCCACCGAGGGTTCACTGAGGAGGGGTTTCCCCTCAACCACATGTTGAACACTGTTGGCGAAAGTTACTTTTATGTGTTACAATGTTATGTTACTCGCAAAAAAAGTAATTTTTTTATGAAAAGTAGTGTTACATTACGTAACTTTTTCTCACCTGGCTGAGGCTCACTCTTTTCCAGGCCTTGCAGTTGGTTTTTTTTTGCAATTGTTTAACACAGTAATGCATTCAACAACATCGCCTATATATACCTTCATTTTCTTTTAAAACACAGTTCGAATATTATTATATTCTGAACACTTATAATATTTCCTGACCCCTATGCTATGCCATACAAAAGATCTCAGAGCATTACAGGTTATATTTCCTACCGTACAACTGTTTATTGAAATTTTGTACTTTTTGTCTCTTCCAGCGGACAAGAAAGATAATTTTATTGCAGCAAAAGTATTTAAGCAAATGAATTAAAACTGAATTTTAAAAAGTAACTCAATTAATGTATACATTTATAAAGTAATGTACATTTATAAAGTAATTTATAAAGTAATGTGTTACTTTCAGAAATGTGTCAAAAAAAGTAATCTGACTATGTAACTTGGAATGCATTACTCCCAATCGTCTCTCTCTCTCTCTCTCTCTCTCTCTCTCTCTCTCTCTTCTCTCTCTCTCTCTCTCTCTCTCTCTCTCTCTCTCTCTCTCTCTCTCTCTCTCTCTCTCTCTCTCTCTCTCTCTCTCTCTCTCTCTCTCTCTCTCTCTATCTCTCTCTCTCTCACTCAATTTCAAATAAGCTTTATTAGCATGACTGTGTATCGATGTTGCCAAAGCTTTAACATATTATATAAATAATTAAAGTCCCTCTATTGTCAATAATTGTATCCTTAAAAATCTTCTTTAATCACCAAAATTACGTAAAGACCCTCAGCTGTGCGGGACAG